AGCCCTTTTGACTGGGCTTTTACAAATTTGACCACAAACCTCAAGTGGGCCCCCAGTACTGCCTGGAAATCTGTTTTTCTCTCTTTGGTAAATCCTCCTGCTTGGCTCCCCCTCTCCCTTCAGCTCCTTATTTCACCAAGGATAGAATAGCTTCCTTATCTTTTCCTCCACCAGAGTCTTCCAACTTGCCAGCATCGACATCACCATGCTCTCCTTTCCTTCCTGTTGACAGAGATGAGCTCTGTCCCTGCTGAAGGCCAGACCTCATGTGTGCACTGACCCCATGCCTTTCCTCCTGCTCTTGGATCCCCCTGCCCTCTCCTACCTCATCCCTGTTAGCTTGCAAACCTGCTATTCCAAATCTCATCAAATCCTCTCTTGTCCTCATAGGGCTCTCCTGTTACTGCCCCCTTTGTTGAAAAATACTTTAAAAGAATTTCCTTTACTTACTTGCTATCCTTCCTGTCTTCTGTCCTTCCTTGAAACTACTACAATCAGGCTGCCCTCGCCAAGGTCACCAGTGGCTTCCATGCCACTAAAATCCAATACTCTCATCCAGTAGTGCCATTTCTGGGTGTATACCCAAAAGGAGTGAAAGCAGTGACTTGAAGGAATATTGCACCCAGTGTTCATAGCTACATTACTCACAATGTCCAAAAGGCGGAAAAAAACATAAGTGTCCATTGATGGATGAATGAATAAACAAAATTTGGTATATCCACACAATGGAATATTATTCAGGCTTAAAAAGGAAGGAAGTTCTAACACAGGATAGAATATGGATGACCCTTAAAGACATGACACAAGGGAAATAAGCCAGATGCAGATGGGCAAATATAGCATCATTCCACTTACATGAGGTTCCTATGGTGGGGAGGAAGAAACAGTGTTTAATAGTTAACAGTGTTTCAGTTTGGCAACAGGAAAAAGTTCTGGAGATGGATAGTGTGGTAATGATTGCACAACAGTGTGAATGTATTTAATGCCACTGAATTGTATACTTAACGGTGGTTAAAATAGGGGTGCCTGGGTGGCATAGTTCGTTAAGAAAGGGACTCTTGGTTTCAGCTCAGGTCATGGTCTCAGGGTCATGAGATTGAACCCCATGTCCGGCTCTACGCTTAGCATGAAGTCTGCTTGAGACTTTCCCTCTCTCTCTGCTCTCCCCTCTGTTCTCCCTCTCAAATACAGCTTTTAAAAAAGGTTAAAATATTAAATTTTGTATATATATATTTTAGCACAACAAAAGAAATCCAATGGTCCATTCTCATTCTTCACTCACGTGATCTCTTAGCAGTATTTAACACAATGGATCACTGGAACCTCTCCCTCTCTCTCTCTCTCTTTTTTTTTTTTTGCATAAGAACTTTTTTGAGATATAATTTACATACCATAAAATCCAAACAAAATATATAATTCAGTGGTTTTTTAGTGTATACAGAGAGTTGTGTAGTCATCACAATTGATTTTAGGACATTTTTGGCACTCCACCCACCCCCCAGAAACCCTATACAATTAGCAATTCCCCCAACTGAATCCTGCCCCAGCCCTTGGCCATCACCCATCCAGCTGCTATGTGAAATTGGCCTCCTCTGCACACTTAACTTACATGGAGTCCTACAGTGTATGGTCTTTTCGACTGGCTTCTTTCACTTAGTGAAATGTTTCCAAGGTTCTTACACGTTGTAGCATGTGTTAGTACTTCATTTCCTTTTATTGCCAAATAATGTTCCATTGTATAGATATGCTGTGTCTTATTTGCCCATTCATCAGTCAGTAGACATGGGGGTGTCTCCACTTGTTGGCCACTATGAGATGAATAATGCAGCTGAAAACGTTCACATGCGTGCTTTTGTGGGGACACATGTTTTCATTTCTCATATTCTCGCCTTTTAAAGGCGTTTTCACTTAACCTCTGGCACACTGCTGTCTAAAGATCAGCTCCTGGCATTATGTTATGTTATGTTACATTATGTTATGTTATATTCCTTATTTTTAAGATTTATTTATTTATTTGAGAGAGAGTCCGTGCATGAGTGGGAAAGGCAGAGGAAGAGGAACAGAGAAACTGAAGCAGACTCCGTGCTTATCGTGGAGCCAATGCGGGGCTCGATCTCACAACCCTGAGATCGTGACCTGAGCTGAAACCATGAGTCAGACTCTCAATTGACTGTGCCCCCCAGGTGCCCCTCAACTCCTGGTATTTTAAAATTGATTGCTTGCTCTTCTGAAAAGAGGACTAGGTCTGGGCTTTTAAGCTGTGGGAAGGATCTCGTTCTTTTCAAAATCAGTGTCAGAATTTTGGTTTAAAAATATGTTAATTTTGTGTTTCCCTGATAAAGGAGTATCATTTTAACTGATCTACTAAGGAAATGAGTTTTAAGAACTTAGCACGTGCTTTTCTGAGAGGAACGTGGCCAAGCTGCTTGGCCATTTCTTTGCCTCTTAGTATGGGACTGCAAAGCAAATGGCCAAATTTCACTTTAAAGGAGCTGATAAGAAAAATGGAAGGCTTTAAAATCGTTACCAGAGCTTTTAAAGATGCGAAAGGTTGGTAGAGGTGAACTCAAAAAGTTCTGTATACTTTTGAATTTTGGACAATTTTAAACACACAGGAATATACTGAAAGTTTTCTGTGGAAAGCTGTATTGTGATCTTTTTTCTAAAGGATCTTAGTCCCTCATTTGGCTGTTTGAGAAGTGAATTTTACATTGTTTTAGGTTTTTGTTTTGCTTCAGTGTCGTTTGCTGGAAGTGGGGTACTTTAAGCAGCTCTTTGTATTTTCGGTTGTTCAGTGAATTGTGTCATGAAGGTTTATGTTTAAGTAAAGTTCACAGTTTAAAGAGTATAGTGGGCTGAATGATGTCCTCCAGTAGGATGGCCCATGTCCCAGCCTCTGGAACCTGTGAAGGTGACCTTATTTGGAAAAGAGTTTACAGGTGTCATTAAGTAGAGGGTCTCAGGATAGGATCCTCCTGGATTATTAAGATGGTTTCTAAATCCGGTGATGAGTATTCTTTTAAGAGACCAAAGGGGAGAAGGAGGGGCAGGTCACATGCAGATGGAGGCAGAGATTGGAATCTTATAGCCATAAGCAAAGGAGGCCTGGAGCCACCAGAAGCTGAAGGAGAGAAGGAAGGATTCTTTCCTAGAGCCTAGGGAGGGGCATGGCCATGCCAACACCTTGATTTCAGACTTCCAGCCTCCAGAACTGGGAGAGAATGAATTCCTCTTGTTTTAAGCCTCCAAATTTTAAGCCTTCCATTAATTTCTCATGGGCAGCACTAGGAACCTAATTAGAGAGGATGCTGATTCAATGATTTTGTAAAGGGAAAACTTCTTGAGTGGCAGAGGGAGAAATGCTTTTGTTCTGTGAATTGCTTGAGGCCCCTGTTACTCTTCCCTTCCCCCCCACAAGCTGCTATGCCCCTACTTCATTTCCCTCCATCCCCTTGCCTCAGCTTCTTGGTTCTGCTCCTTCCAAGCTCTGCCCAGAAGTTCCTCGTTACTTCCTGTTAGAATATTTCCAATTTTCTGGACAATCTCTTCTTTTAGTGGGACTGTGGGCTTTGATCCTTTCCATTGACATGGTACTTACCTCTTTAGATGGCCAGGATGGGGTTCCCAAATTCAAAATGTACAAGCATTCTGGATGTATGAAAACCAAAACCAAAACCAACCACAATAATGCAAGAACAAAGCTGAATGCCTGGAAAGAGGTATGACTGGTGACCAAATGCTGTGCCTCAAGGGGCTGTTTCTACTTAGCTCCAGGAAATTATTGCCACAATGTATTGAGGAACTAGTGTTGACAGATCTGATTTTTTAAAAGAAGCTGGAAATCTGGATTTTTCTGTAAACCCCCTGATTTTTACATAAGGTAACTAACTATTCATAGTAAGAAACAAAACCAAACCTCAAAACAAATAGCAAAAAAGAAAAAAAAAAAGTGCGTGTGTGTGCATTTGTGTGTGTGTGCATTTGTGTGTGTGTGTGTACCAAACAAAAACCTATCTCTAAGGTCCCACTGGCCCATATATTCCATTTTGCAAGGGGACCCTCTGTCTTAGGATGTAGAGGTGGTGGGTAGGATCATTGCATATATTTCTTGCATCTTTTGGGGCTCTTTAAAAATCTCCATCTCCAAAATGCTAAGCAACAGAAGTGTCCTAAAAGGTTTTTTAGGTCGCTATCCCTTTCCTGAACCTGCCTTGCCGAATTTAACAACACGGAGACACTTGAACATGTTAAATATTTTATTCACATTGTTTACAAACTATATCCACCTGGAAAACACATGAGTCCAAAAATAGATTATTTTACAGTAATTCACATTTTTTTAAAAACAAATTGCTACGAAGTGAAGCTCTAAGCACAGAGGTCCTCAGCCTGTCTCGTGGTTCAGTGCCTGGTTGCACAGAGCCCCCCCACTCTACTGGGGTAGCAGTCCTCAGGGCAGACGGCCTCATCGCAGGTCACCAGTGGCTTCCCTACCAGTGAGCGATGAGGAGATGTCAGTGCAGACTTTAACCGGTGAACATTTACTGGTAGCAATTCACCGTTCCTTCTTTTATCAAGGAAATAGTTTTAGAGCTTGAGTACATGCCAGGAAGACAAAACAAAGGAGACTTCTCAGGTAATCAGCCATTACAGAGTTATCAGGACCTGGCCCGTTCTATAAAGGTTGAACGTCTGGGCCGCAGACAGAATGAACAAGCTACAGTTTTGTGGTGTTGACGGCTCGGATCAGAAACAGTAGTGATTTGGAAATTGGTGCGAGGATCTGTGGACTAACTCAGCTACCCTCCCTTCCCACCACCACCAGGAGAAGAGGAGAAATAAACTCAGTAGGAATTAATAATGTGCCTAATTTTAACTGTGTGGCCCTCGAAAGATGGCCGTGGGAGTTGGCTGAGTGCCCCCAAAGATACTGTGGTTCAGAAGCTTATTATTTCCCTATGCTAAATCCAATCATGCCCTCCAGAATGGGGTCCAAAAACACAAAAACAAAAACAAAATCAACAAAGCATGTCCCCTTTTCTTTTATTAATTAAGCAACTTTTCTATGGCATTTGGCTTTAATGATTTAAAATCTACAGTAGGTCTGTCTTACCCACATCTCACCCCCTCCTACCAAAATAACTACCAAAGAGTCACTTTTCCTGTTTTTCCTTTGCGAGCTGCCACAGTTAAATATGAGAAAACTTTTGAGCCTTTGGAAGGGGAGCCCCTGGTTGAATCTCAAATGGCAGAAGTGGGTCCTTTTTCTCAGAGTAGCACCAATAGCACGGGCTATCGTGTTTCTGTAACTCTCGATTAGGGGAGGAATGTTTGTCAGGGAACCACAAAAGACCATTCCTTCCTTCCCTTGGATAAGAAAACACAGAATTCCTTAAAGGGTTGCTTCACCGTGGGAGCAGACAACAACAACTCTGAATCCGAATGGAAGCTGAGAAGTGGAGAAATGTTAGCACATTTGCAGGTTAACACGGCGACACAACAACAACAACAACGAGACTTTCAAATGTCTATTGCGATGTGATTATTTGAGAAGACAAGAAATCCGTAGAAGGAACTTGATGATGGAGCAGATCATAGCTTGTCTTCCTGCCACCCGTGTGCATTTTTTCCAAACTTGTACACTAGCCTTCGGTCGACCCGTTCCAAAATTCCTGTTTTGTAGTAGTACCTGAGAAAGACAGCATAAGAGAAATGTGGGGAGACCCGCACCCCGGGAAGACAACAGAAACACTCTCCTCATTCCTCTCCGGTGACCAGGCTGGTTTTTGGTAACCCTGGTATTTCCACACCCTGTTATCAGCTTACACTTAAACCTTTCCCAGACACCTTGAAGGCTAAGCCTCACCACATTCAGATCAAAACGCATTTTGCATGTGTATGTGTGGGACGGCCGGCATTCAGAGTGATCCCCAGGGCCACTGCCAAGAATGAGAAGGACAGCGTGTCCGTTTACAAACTATAATCCCACCTGTAACTAAGAACCAGAGTGTTGTCTCATGACCTTTCGATTATCAAGGAAAAAGCTGCAAAAACATAGTTTAATTTTCTATGGCTGGCCGTTCTGTATAACTCTGCCCAAAGGCTCATGGTGTTTCATGCTATTAACTCACCTCAGAGCTCGGCTCAACTTTTCATACGTCATTCTGTCATTTTTCTTCCTTTGTCCCCACATCTTTGCCAGGGCTTCTGACTTTACTACCCGAAAAATACCTTGTTCCCTATCTTCCCATTCCAGAATACCGCAGTTTTCTTCAGGAGAGAGAAGCAGGTCTCGCACAAATTCCCATAGATGAGAACTTTGGAGGCCTTTTGAGAAAGAAAAAAAAAGTTACTTAACAGTTAAAAAAAAATTCTAAGAGTTGTACCATTTCTTATTAACTCCGAGAATTGCTGCTTTTTAAATGGGGATATTTTCCATATTATGACCAAGTGCTCTACTTGGACCTGCATTGGGCTGTGAAATATTTCTCTTCTATTAAAGCAATTGTAAGGGACACCTGGCTGGCTCAGTCAGTTAAGTGTCTGCCTTCAGCTCAGGTCATGATCCCAGGGTCCTGGGATCGAGCCCCGCATTGGGCTCCCTGTTCAATGGAGAGTCTGCTTCTCTTTCTACCCCACTGCCTCTCTCTCTCTCTCTCTCAAATAAATAGAATCTTTAAAAAAACAAAGCAATCATAAAATACACATACAGGAACACCGAATTTATACCGACTAGAAACACCGTGGCTCCCAGTCTGTCCTTGCTCTGTGGAACTATGGAATAATTCTTAGGAATTAATAAAATGACAGTCATATGATCTTTCTGACAGACAGTATGATGGTACTAATATCCCATAGCCACGCCAGTCTGGCAGACTGATCCTACAATGAATTTTTTCATGAGAAGCTGGTGTTTCTCTTGGTCCATTAGAGTTGTCATTAAGACCGGTTCTAGTGTCCAACCACCTGGGTTTGGGGCCTGAATTCACCTCTTTGTAGCTCTGTAATTGTAATCTCTCCAGTTATCTGTAAAATGGGACCAGAGGGTTACCTACCTCATGAGAGAAGTTGGAGGATTATGGTTTAACAATAAAGTGACTGGCATCGAGTGGGGCAGACTTGATTCGGCCCTGGGTAGGTCTGTCTTAGGGCCAGGAAAGGCTATGAGAATTGTGAACACATGGCGTTTACTATCATCCCTGAGGACTTAAGAGAGAAGGACCCTTGGAGTGCCTGGGTGGCTCAATGGGTTAAGCCTCTGGCTTCGGCTCAGGTCATGATCTCAGGGTCATGGGATCGGCCCCGCATCGGGCTCTCTGCTCAACAGGGAGCCTGCTTCCCCCTCTCTCTGCCTGCCTCTCTGCCTACTCGTGATCTCTGTCTGTCAAATAAATAAATAAAGAGAGAGAGAGAGAGAGAGAAGGACCCTTAGCAGACCGGGAGAAATAAACCCTTATTCAGAAATTCACCATGGTTAGACAATTTCTTCGCTTCGCCATTTTAATTCTCACAACATCATGTCCAAGTGAAAAGAAATGTAATTCTGATAACAGTTTATCTGCTGTTTTCTTTGGGGAGCCCCTGGTCCCCTTCAAACGTTCAGTGTCCAAGCTTATTAGAGTACTTTGTCTCCTGAACGGTTTTAGGAAATTAGAAATGAGGAAGGGCTTCGCTACACTTACTTGTTCGACTATGGCTGTGACAGTCTTGACTTTTGATGCCGCTTGTTTTCAAGCAGTTGGAATCAGCATCTGCAATAGAACGAGTTACAGCAATAGAACGAGTTCAGACCTCCAGGCACACCTAAATGAGCAACTATGAACTGGACACATTTGTGGTAGGAGATCCCACAGGAGGCGCTTTGGGGGTCATGAGGAGGTCGGAGGTGTTTGCCTTTGAAGGGGGCGGCATTTGTATTCAAATACTAGGGACCTGCCTGGTGCCAGGTTCTGGGCTCTGTGCTGGGAACGAGCGAGAACGAGACAGTTCTGGTCCCCATGCACTTGGAATTCAAGGACTCGTGGGCAAGGTACAATACAAGTCAAACAAGTCACTCATAGTGAGTGTTATGAAAGCAGCAAGACATGGGGTAGAGAATGAAGGGTTGGTGGGGGCTGCCCGCTTAGAGTGGCCAAGGAGGGCCTCGTGCGCAGGAGTCATCTACGCTGATGTGAGGAGGCGAGAGAGGCATCCAGAGGGAAGGAGCAGCACAGACAGAGAACCAGTGAGGCATGTGGTGTTCCCAGGGGCGGGGAGGAGGGGGGTTAGATGATGATGCTGGGGAAGCCAGCTGCCCACAGAGCCCACGGGGCCTTCCTTGCCAGCCCACAGTAAGCACTTGGGATTTTGTTCAAAGAATAAAGTGAAGACTTGGGAGTTTGACAAGATACACATTTTAAGAGAACTTCTCTGACTAGTGTGTGGGGAACACACTAGAAGGGACACGAGTAAAAGCAAAGAGACCAGAGCTTAGGAATAGCAGGAAGCAAGGCATCAACTCAATACAGAACTCAGTCAGGACTCATGCTGTAAGTAACAATCTGAGACATGTGCACAGCGTTATTTCAAAGGAGTATATGATATCTAAAAAAAAAAAGAGGTAGTGCCCAATCTCCCCAGCCTTGCCGCTCCCCTGGCTCACTTTGCTCTGGCCATACTGGCCTCCTGCCTCTTTCTGAGACTCCCCCTCACCTTCTACCCCAGGGTCTTTGCACGTGCCCTCCCTCTGCCCTAAGGCCTCTTTCTTTGGATATCCATGGGTTGGGCCCTCCTCTCAATCTTCACTCCAAGTCACCTTCTCAGTGGAATCACACACACTCACTCCTACCCAGCATTCTGTGTCTACTTCCCTTATTATTTTTTGGCCACAATACTTATCATCATCGAACATAGGATATTGTGTATTTATTTATTTAGTTCACTCTCTGTTCCCATCAGAAGTCAGGGATTCATGTTTCCAGAGGTATCCCCCAAACACGTAGCCCTGAGCATGGCACATAGTAGGTGCTCAGTAATGTACTGGGCAGCCGCTAGACCAGATGCTAGTCTATAGCAACCATATACACGGTATAGTCTAGTAGGTATATTATGTCATAATCTGGATGAAAGACTAAGTATGTTGTCAAGGAAAGGAATGGTGTCTCGTGTACCACACTGCTGCCCAGGGCAATCTCAGTGCCACTGGCTCATGTCATTCCCTGGCTTACCGTCCTGCGGTTGCTTCCCCATTGTCTCCCAGACGAAGGCCGCCATGCTTGTTAGGACTTTCACAGACTGATCCCCACTCAGCAATCTGGCCTTCTCTGCTGCTGCTGCCCAACTTCTTCCCTTCTGTTGGTTTAGAGGGTCCCGGTGTTGCTTGGCTTTCTCCTGCCTCAGGGCTTTTGCATGGCTCCCTGCTCCCTAGTTCCACTGAGCTGACTTGTACTCTCCAGACCTCTTCATAAAGTCTTCTCTGAACTTTCCGTCTGGGTTAGATCCCCTCTCTGTTCCACACACCGGTGTGTTCCTTAGTATCACAGCACTAGTCCACACCACTGTAAGGACAGACCTCATCTCTTCTCTACTATAGAGCACTTACTAAATGCCAGATGCCTGTTAAGTGCTTCACATACATTATCTGTTTCAGTCCCTGCAGCCACCCTATGTGGGACTAGGGCTACCTCTATTTTATGGAGGAGGAAATTGAAGCCCAGAGAGTCTAAGAATTTTATCCAGAGTGGTGGAGGCAGGGCTTGAACCAGAGCAGGTCTGTTCTCAGAATTACTACTCTATCTTGTCTTTCATAGTAGGTGTTCAATGCACACTTGGTGAATACTTATTAGCTGTGTTTGGTGAGTGTTTAGCATCGCCAGGCACTCAATTTCACCTGTCCTTGTGATGAACGTCTATTTCTGTGCCCATTTTACAGAGAAGTAAATGGAGGCACAGTGAGGCTCACTGCAGCTCATGCACTCATTCGCTCATTCATTCATGAGCGTTGAGCCACAGTGTGCTCACTGGTGCCGGGTGCCGGAGGCACAGGCCGAAGCAAGTCCCTGCTCTTGGGGACTTACATCCAAGTGGGTACAAACATCTAACGAACAAGCAGTAACTGTGGAGAATACTGAAGCAGGGTGAGGGTAGGGAGACATTGGGGGTAGGAGAAGGGGGGTGAGCAACCTTGCACTCTTAATTAGAGCCAGTGGACAAGACTCCGGACGAGGAGTGGGCAAGCAGCCAGCCCCGGGGAAGTTTGCGGGGCACAGTTCTGGTCACGTGCCAGGCCAGGGGCAGAGCCCAACTCTGCACCCAGGCCCACTGGCCTTAAGCCCTCGGCTCTAGTAGCTACGGCGCATGTCCGCTGGAACGAACAATGACAGGAACGCGGGCCTTCAGCTTTCAGGGTGCCCTCTGCACCTTTTTCACGGGCTATGGGCTGGAAGCGCATCGATGGGGAACACCAGGTCCATGCACCCAGGCAGGGGTGTGCAAAGCCCAAATGGAGGCCCTGGCGGACTCAGCTGACAGAGCCGCCGGGCGGAGGGGGTGCGAGCACGTAGGCAGGGCCCGCAGGGCAGTGACCGGAGGCGAGCGGGCGGCCCTTCTGCCTGCGGAGCGCCGTGCTGCCTGGCGCCACCTGCAGGGCGCGTCGAGCGCTGCTTCAACTTCATCTTTGAAGAGGAGAGAACGCAAACAGAGGCGCGAGATAAAACCAGGTGAATTCTGAAGCGGTGAGAAGACGGAAATCTTGCCCTGAAATGCCAAAATGGCAAGAAGAGGGAGGGAAACCTCGCCCTTTTCATGTGTGGGATTTCTCCTGTGTGCCGCGGATGAGGGATCTTTGGCTTGGTCGGCGGATCCCGGGACAGGTCAGTGTGATGTGGAGTTGTGTGGCCCGTGGGGGGTTTCTCCTTGTGGGTCTTGTCAGAGATGTCCCTATGTTGTCTGCTCCCAGTTCCCAGTGGTGGCTTTGATGCTACTCCCGGGTCCAGCTCGCTCTCCTGGGGGTGGCCGTGGGGTGGCCGTGGGGGCAAAGGCATAGTAGCTGTCACCAGCATAGCTGGGCTGAGAGGGGTCACCAAGTCACAACCTCCATGGTAGCCCCCGGACCCCACTGAACTCCCCTGCAGATGTCCCCTGCGCACTGGCGACAGTTCCCTGGACTCTGAACTATCTTCCTGTCAGAGGGGTCCCCGCAACTGGGCGGTGCCTGGTGTGGGGCAACATAGCCTGGGCTCTCTGCTGTCTGTGCGACTTGGAGAGGTTCGGTGCCTTGAGACTGGAGACTGTTGAAAAGTGGCCACAGGATATATTCTTGGTCATTGACTGAAGTCCCGAAGCGGAGACGGGGGCTGGAGGGGCAGTTTCCAAAACCAGCTCTTGATGTCCCCCAGGCCACGAGGGCTGCTAGAGAGCCCACCCTCCATGCCAGGAGGAGAAGCTCTAAGCCTCAGAACAAAAGGTTCCTGGGGCGACCCGAGGCCTGCAGGCTTGGTTTTCTGGCATTTTGTCAGTGGGGGTGAGAAAAGGGTGGGGGGGGAGGAGCAGAGACAAGTGGCAAATGGCTGGGGGGTATCACTTGGGCCAGCCCTATGGCTTCAGAGCTTGTCGGGGCTGGGCCCTTTCCGCAGGTACTGAGTTAAAAATCATCTTGTTCTCTGGGTCACTGCAGACCTGGGCCCAAACCTAGAAGAGTCTGGAGCCTTGGATCTCAGCTGAGGTGGGCAGTGGAATGAAGGGAAGGTTTTGGAGGTATGTGCACCTGTGTCTGCGTATGTGTGTGTGTGTGTGTACATATGCGCATGTATGTGTGTGTGTGCATAAGTGCATATGTGTGTGCATGTGTATATGGGAGTGCATACGTGTGTGCATGTGGTGAATGGCCCAATGTATAGAAGCACAGACTTCGAGAAAATGAGTTGGAATCTCATCTGTATACTTCTTTGCAAGTTCCTGCTCTTCTGGTTTCCTCAGATGTAAATGGGGGCAAGCATCCTACCTCAAGGAGTTAGAATGAGGATTCAGTGAGTTAGAGCAGGTAAAACCCTCCGCCCGGCGGTGCCCGGGACACAGGGCTCCATAGTTGGTCAGGGTAGATGTTCGTCTTTGCTGCAGACTGATGGGAATGCTGCTTGCAGCCCTAGGATGTCAGCTGTCCTTGTTGGCCCGGCCTTGGCCTCTGGCCAGCACATCTCCTTTCTGCATTGGGGGTGACCAAGATCACAAAACAACAGCCGGGCCATAGGCATCGTGATCATACATCCTGCATTTTCTAGAACAGGCTCATTGGATAATCTGTCAGTCCGTTGTCTTTGTTCTTATTAAACCACATGTTAGGGGCTCTGCTTTGGAAGAGCTGTGGGGGAGCCAGAGATGGGCCTCAGGGGCCACATGGGAAGACCACGGTTTCCTGGCTGTGGCAGTGGAGGCTGCCATTTGGCAGAGCTGTGGTGCTGCTTTTCAGTGTGCTCACGGACCACTTAGCCCTGAATTTGGTCTAGAAAAGGTGCCTCTCTCCTTGGTAAGCCTGGCAGGGCCTGCATGGGGCAGAGCCTGGGGCAGCTGCCATCACGAAGGGTTTGTCTCCATAGAGATGCCAGTTCAGAGCCCATGTCTTATCACCACCTTTATCTCCAGAAAATTCTCTCCATCCCTCCCATCACTTGGTCTGGGCCTCCACCATCACTCTGCCTCTTGGATAGCAGCCTCCTGGCTGGGCTCCTTCCTGACCAGATACGGCAATCTGGAGGGATCCTCTTAAAATACAGATGAGGTTTTATTGTTTCCTGTTTCAGTGGCTTCCAAGTCTGCTCAGAATGAAATCCAAACTCAAAAGCCGTATGTGACCTGCTCCTGCCCTGCTCTTGGCCTCAGCTTCCATTCCTCCTCCTGCTGTTGTCGCTGACGATCTACCAGGGTGCTATCCAGGAGAACCATGAAGCTGGAAATCTGAGCAGTCCCAAAAGGTAGCCACTAGCTGCCTGTGCTATTGAGCACTTGGAATGTGACTCAGCAGCTGAATTTTCACTTTATTTAATTTTAATTAAACTTCATGGCCGCCTGTGGCTACTGCTTACTGCATCAAGCCTCCTGGTTCTAGGTTTTTGATTCTTTCTCAAGGACTCCAAAACCGTTCCTGCCTCAGGGCCTTTGCACTTGCTGCTCATGCCCTGTACCCTTTTCTTCCCTCTTCCTGGCTAACTTCTGCTCATCCTTTAGACTTAATTTAAATAGTTCTTCCTCCAGGAGTTCTTCCCTTGTCCCCAGTTGAAATGTAATCTGTCTCCCATCACACAACACGTCACCCTGTCCTTTTCGTTTTTTAGTATCATCATACTTAGCCATTGCAAACTTACGACAGGGATTATTTGTTTAACATCTCTCTCTCTCTCTGCTTGCTTTATGAGGGAAAGACCAAGGTTGCACTCATTGGTGCAGCCATGGCACATAGTAGGTGCCTGGGCCTGGCTCATGGTAAGTGTATACTAAATGTTTGCTGAATGAATGGAAAGGGAGGCAGGGATGCATGAGGGGAAGAAGGGGTTAAGTGCTTCAGATTTAGCCACACCTGGGTTATTCGTCACCTTCCTAACCTTGTCACCTTTAATCTCTAAGCTTTAGTTGCTCTGTGGTACAAGGTCTTGTCTTACAGGGTTATGAGAAAGATTACCTGAACTTTACCAAGATTCTAGCACGGGGCCTGGCTCATTATAAGCACTTGGTGAATGCTAGCTGCCAATATTATTATTATTACTGTTATTGTTATTATTATTATTATTATCATTGCCATGACTCTAATTGGGGCTAGGCCTATGCTCAGGTAACAACTTTTAAAGAACTTATGGGACACACTATCTCTGCCGAGCTGTGAGGGAGGCAGGCTGGCAAAAAGATACCCATTTATAGGCAGAGGCACTGGTCAAACTCTCTGCTGCTCAGGAGTATGGCAGGTGCCTGCCCTGGGCTGGAGCCCCTAGACAGAATCAGTAATGGCCCCTGGGCCTCAGTGGGCTCCTTTCTTTCTGGGGGGCTTTGCCTGGACTGGGCTGGGTCATTCAGCAGGGTTTGTATGCCACAGACCACTGTGGATGGATGGGAAGGGATTCCAGGCCGGGCCAGGAAACTCCATGGGAGCTTTGTTCACAGGCAGGAGGAGAGGCTCTGCCCTCTGGCCTGAGAGTGGGGAAACATCACGTTGAAGGCAGAACTGCTCCTGGGAGGGCTGTGAGGGTCTGTGGGGCACGGCGGGCCTCTGTAAGTCTGCAGCGTGGGCTTGATGGACCCAACTATTCCTGTGCTAAAACTCTGAATGAGATAACCTGCTTTAACCACATAACCTGAATCTTCAGTTGATTGCTTGGGACTCTCAGGACAGGAAAAATATGTCATAAGAAACCATCCTTCCATGTCGGCCCCTCTAAGGCCTCGGGACCCCCCCCCCCCCCACAATACTCTGTCCTCCCTCTGCCGCTAAAGGGACTGAAGTCCACAGAGGGAAGGGGCCTGCCCAGGACCCACGTCTCCCAGTGGCCCCGAGGCCAGGGCCATTGTGTGGCACTCAGGAACCAAAAGCAACAACATCATCCTGTTTAAAACAATGAAAGCCTAAACCTCCATCTGCAAAAGCGAGACAGTGTTAATTCTCAGAATCAACAGGCCGCTGGAGGGCCTCCATCATCTTAGAATTACAAAGCTTGGTGAGCTTGGATGGAGACAGTGTCCACTGCGGAGCCCCCTGGGTTTAGTCATTATGGTAATTGTTGTTCACAGAGAGCCGTACTTGGAGCATCTGGGTCACAGACACTTCATATGTATTGTTTCTCTAACTCACCACAACCAGGGAGGGTCGCTCCGTTTTACAGATAGGGAAACTGAGTCTGGGGGAGGACGAGGAATCTGTACACCCAGACCCCACGCTCTGCCCCCCACATTTTCCCTGCTGTCTTCTCCTGGTCTGTGACTATTTTAGGTCATTAACTTCTTGGTTGTGGTAAAAAAAGAACCGTCAAGCCCATGCGCCCACCAGCGGCCTTGGGCACCACCGCCTTGGGCCGCCTGAACCTGGTTACTTACAGTCTTTGATGGCAGCCTTGGTCTCTTCAGTGTCAGTAAAGAAGGAGTAACCTGGGAAGGAAAAAGAAGTCCATAAACTGTACCAGACGATCCTGGTTTCCCCGCCTGGAGAGGGGCTGCCTGGGAGAAGGGGAACACTTAACTGTCCCCTCTGGCGGGTAGTTTTATTTCAGAAAGAACCTTCGAGAACACCTGGCTCTTACTAGGCCATGCTGAAGGCACCTTTGAGAGAGGACAGTCTCCTAGTTTTTAAAGGGCTCCCGGAGCGGGGCCCGAGGCCAGGCATTCCAGCAGGGGGACCTGGGCCCTGACTGAGGTGGGCTGTGTCACTGCCCCCAGTGTGACCTCACTCAGTCTCCGGGCAGATTGTGACAAGACTCCCACTGAGTGAGTTCCCCTTCCACTTCAGCTCGTAGGGTCCGTGGTCTGCAATGGGGCCTCCAATCCCTTGGGGGTTTGAATGCCATTATTATCTGTCAGGGGGCAGATGAACATAGGAAGCTTAAAGGCGTGCAAGACCCACTGAGAGGCTGTAATAAGAATTTGGGAGATTATGTTGGGGCCTTGGTTTGCTCCTCTGAAGAATGGGGTGGGCTGGGGGGGGGGCGCGGATTAAGAGTCTCAAATCAAGTTACCACAAGGAGGCACAGGCCAAGAGACACGTCTTTTCTAGCTTGGTGTCCAATAGGATTAACTTCCACTGACTGAGGGGCCTGGAACAGGACACATTTGTAACTGTTTTATTCAGAAAATGTGCCATTTTCTGATGGGTTCCGGTCAGCCAGGGCTCCTGGGCGCACTCTGCCTGGAGGGCTGCCCAAGAACAGGTTGGAGGACTGACCGATGAGGGACCCATTCCACTCCTACCGTGGAAGCCACCCATTGGCCCCTGCCCTCCCTGCTGGCCTCACCCTCCAGTGACCAGTGTCCCTGTGTTTCTGGGCCCTCGAATTCTATTGAGATGCCTCCTGAGCCAGATATCACACTGGGCCCTACCCCTGTGTAACTCCTTCTGCTGTCCAAACCGCCGGAGTCCTAATCCAGGCAGTAAAAAAAGGCCTAAACTAGGTAATAATCAGATTACCATCTAACTTATTGTACAAATGCAGATGCTTTTGAGAATGAAGCGCTGATAATAATTAGTCTGTGGTAACAGGTGAGACAGCATGTTCCGGGAACACTGAGATGCTGTAAACTCTGCTCTCAACACATGTATTATGATCGCGATACGTAGTGTACATTCCTGCTTGAGGAACATTGAAGGAGGAATTACAGTGTGGCGTGGCGTGGTGTGTAGGTAGTTCTACTCCACACGGTAAGGACCCTGGCCTGAAATTCCTCCACTGGAGTTGGCCTAGTGACCCCAGGGATGCCTCAGAATAAGAAGAGGCAAAATACAGCCTGTTGGAAAAACAATTGTGTTTGGCTTGTTTTGTGTGGGTCCTGAGGTGACGGTGCCCAGAATAGGGATTCGAGGATGTAACAGTGTCAGGGAAGGGAGGCGCCCAGGCTGAGAGACTCCAGCATAGGGGCTGCAGGGGTCTGGAGACAAACTTGACTGACGTGATGTTTGGCAAAGGCTGGCAATGCCAAGCTGCATCCCCTCTCAAGATAGAACACGTCCCTCTCCGTGGCCCGGGGATTTTCCGGCAAAGCGGTTCCCTCAGAAGGTTCTGAATGGAACCCCTCCCTGAGCTACTGTGATTTGTTCAGACTTTCTCCTTTTTGCGGAGGGCCCACTCTATGCTCTGGGCCACTGCTTCTGGCAGGGTGCTGTCACTGGCTGTCACAAAGCCAAGACTGGACAACGATGGACAGCAGGTCTGTTGGTCCCTTCCTCACCCCTGGTGGGTCATGGTTCCCAGGTCAGAAGCTGAGAAGTAAGTGGCCCAGGGCCAACATCTATAGCTTTCCTGCCCTTGGGCATCCATGCTGGGGGAGAGCAAAGGGAAAGCAAAGAATTTTAGAGTTGGAAGATCCTCTGTGGTTTTCTGGCCAAACAGGAATCCCTGCCTCAGCATCCCATCAATCAGGGGGCGATTAGCCTGCTTGATTATCTCTAGTGATGGGGAGCTTCTTATCTTTAGTATCTTCCTGAGGCAGTCTTTCAAAAAAAAAAAAAAAAGAGGCTAAATTTTAGAAGTCTTTCTTAAAATTGAACTGAGATGTGATTCCTTTATTTTTTAAAATATCTTTCCCCTTGGTTATATTCATAATGACAAAAACAGCTGCCATTTACTACATTTGCATCGTTATGTGCTGCTTCGGGTCCTGTTTGACAGAGTCCTGTCACCCGTGAAGGTGTGTGTTATTATCCCACTGTCCAGACGAAGTCAGAGGACCTGTGGCTTCAGAGTGCTGGAGTCAGGGTTACAACCCAGATCCTTCCAAACTCAAAGCCCTTCCTTTGTGTTGACTTTCCATAAAGCAGCTGTGTGTGCTGTGTGACCTTGAAGAAGTCACCCGATCGCTTGGGACCTTAGTTCCTTTATCTGTGAAATGGGGACACAGAATTACATGTTCTCAAAGAAACCTTTCCAGTCTGAAAACACCTGTTCATCCACATTCTGGTCTTGCGGGGCCTGATGAAATGTTAACTAATCCCACTGGCGCCACCTTCCGGCCGTTTGATCCTTGACCATTAGGCAAGCGCGGATGAAATGTCAATGTCTCTTCTGGAAACGGAAAGGCAAAGGGTCTAGTTCATTTTCTTCTCCTCCTGCCTATGAAAAGTTGAACAGAAACCCCCTTTCCCCCCGTGTCTTCTGGTGGCAAATCTTAACAGAATACATTATTTTGTTGTATCTGCCTGGTTCCTGAATGTCTTTTTAGGTTTTCTTTTCTTGCTAAGAAAGTACTCAACTTGCTTCCTTGTAACTTGCTCCTTCTGACCTACAGTCTCTAATTCTAGCAAACAAGCACTTCCAGGGATTGAGAAATGTGGGTTAAGGGCGTTCCAGTTCCTGAGATCCCCGGTGTGAGTGTCAAGGTGGGGAAGGACCTCCGTGGTCACGTGGCCCCACCCCCGACCCCTCCCCCTGAGGCCCGGTCCCGGACACTGACCTTGCGAGCGGATGTTCTGGAGGATGAAGTAGAGGTACTCCCCGCAGATGCCGGCCGCCTCGATGAATTCGTCCTGTGTCATGCTGCACAGCTGCGGGCCACTGATGTTGAAGTGGCAGAAGGAGATGCAGTTGGCGTCCAGCTTGTACTGGTCGCAGCAGAACTGGAGCCATTCCCAGACATGGCGCTTGGTCCAGTACTCGGGGTGGACGGACGTCCAGTAGGAGTCGCAGGCTACGGCAGGAGAGAGAGACAAGTGAGGGACCGCGGTCACCAGGAAAATGTCCAGGGGGCCCCCTGAAGGAGGCTCCCATCAGGTTATCATCTACATCCCTTGGCTGTGAGTTAAAAGGGCCTCCGGCTTTGGGGTGTTCTTTGGGGGCCCAGGTTTATCTATTCCACTGCACAACCCAGAAGAGACTGGATCTTCCGGGTGCACCTTGGGCCAGGAGAGAGACGGACCTGTGAGAAAACCTGTCATGGCTTGGGAGTGCTGGGGCCTAGTTTTGGTACTTGGAAAGGGGGACTAGAGGAGAAAGGGAAGAGCAAGGCCCTTCAGTGTGGTTGGGTTTCAAACAAAAGGGTATCCAGAGCTCAGTCTTTGGCGCCCGACAAGCCTGGGTTCACACCCAAGCTGGGCTGCTTTTGATCTGGGCAAGGCCGTAGACAGTTAAGCCTCAGTTTCCTCATCTTTGCAATGGGTATAATATGCCCAGCTCACAGGGCTGTTACACAGTTCGGAGTGGACATGTGTAAGCTATGTAGTGCCCAGAAAACGATCAACCAGTTTGAGAGTTACTAAATGCCTACTGTGTGCCAGGCACAATTTGAAGCTGATTTGATTCCCTCTGCTCTTAGGCACAGTTGCCAACACTAGCTGCCGGTTTGTGCTCTGCCTCTGGTCCTCTTGGGCCGAGGGCCTCAAGCTGGTGAGACGTTGCCCAGAGGCCAAGGGAGCTGTGGAGAAGAGAGAAGTCGGGGAGCTGGTTGTATTGTTGCTTTTGTGGTTTTGATGATGTTTTGAGGAATTTCCATCCCAAAGCTGAGACACTTCACTCCTTCAAAGGAGCCCCATACAAACCCAGACAGAGGTGGGCACCATTTTGTCTGGGAGGCTGAGAAATGGCCATGGGCCTGGCTTGGAACAGAGATTGGGTGTACCACAGTTCTGTCCCAATGCAAGGAGAAACAGAAAGGGTGGCATACAAGGGGTGTGGAGGAAGTGAGATACCAGGCACTTGGTTAGTCCCTCTGACACACAAGTCTTGTGGCTGCCATGGTGCTCATTCATTTATTCATTCATTCGTTCAATAAATGAGCTTTAGTCTCCTCATTGGCAAGATGGGATAATGATAGCACCTATGTCATAGAGTTGTTCTGTGGATTAAATGAGCTACTATATGCGGAAGTATTTAGAACAGAGCATGGAATATTCTAATGCTATTACTGAGATTGTCACTGAACACCTGTTATGTGTAAAGCAACAAATTGTGAGCTAAAGATTCATGGTAAGAGGTTTGGTCCTTGTCCCCTGGAAGATAACGGATTATGAACCTGAGGGTCACAGAAGACTTGCCCTAAAACCCCCAGCTAGTGTGTGGCAGAGCTAGGATTTAAACCCTAGTCAGAACTTGAAAGCCGTTGCTCTTCCCATTCCGTCATACTGGTCCTCAGAGCATCAGGGCAGAGAAGAGATAAAACAGGGAGAGGCAGGGGCAGACAGAGAACTAGAGAGAGTGAGAAGGCCTGAGGAGAATGGCAGAGAGGAGAGTGTGGCTCAGGCTATGTGAACGACAGAAAAGGTCACTCATGAGCTAGACACCACAGCAAATATCAACCAGGCTATTCTGATTCTCCCATAATGTTGCATGTACTGCCACTGTCCCCAGTGAGTCTGTGGCACTTCCAATCCCAGGGAGGAGAGATGTTCTCTGCCCTGTCAGGGGTATTGCTTCCTTGGGAGCAACTCCTGTGTGTCAGCTGCTTACGTTCCTGAAATCCTCCCAAACAGGTATGATTTCACAAAGGAGGAAACTGAGGCTCGCCCTAAAACTCAGAGCCCTCCCGGAAATCTCCTTTCCCACCATGGAGTGGATTGAGGGGTTATCAACTTAAACAATAGATTTGTTTTAATTTATCTTACATTTTTAATCAGAATTTTATATGCATGTGAGTAAAGGTTTGGTATTCTGCCAGGATGGTTGAGGTCAATGTTGTTACCTGTCCCTGGTGGGTAAGGAGATTAGGGGGCTGGCTCTCTCCTTACTTGCTGGTTGCTGCCTAGAGCTGGCCTACTAGCCTGCGGGGGGGCCCCTTGCGGCCAATAGGGTCTCCTGAGAAAATAGGGTGGCCATTCTCAGGTCTGGTCTGCACTTTCATCTACTGATTTCTGGCTTGAGTAAACCTAGGGGGCCTTTGACATTCCTGGTATTCTGATGAGGGATGTTTATGAGCCTTGAAATTCTACCATCCTTGGTTCTGAGCTGAGCCCCCAACAGAGATGGCTATCGGTGTGTAGCACTTGGAGGACAGACTTTATTTCTTTTCATGGAAAGATTTCGCCAAGTCTCCATTTCCTCCTCTCTCTACTTCCACCCCCTTGTTATTTTCTTTGGCACGTGAAGAGGGCCATGTTGTTTCTGGAAGCCAATGGGCCTAGAGGATTCGGAGAAACGCCCGGGTGGAGGTGGGCACTGACATGAGGAGGTGTTGCTGGCAGGCTCACCTTCCTTTCAGCTCTTTCCTTTGAAGCTCACCCACAGAGCAGGCTTTGTGTGTGGCTCCTTCTGGAAGGAAGCCAGAGCCAGAGCCAAGCATGGCGGGCTCTCCTCACCAGGAAAGGCCTTCCCCCAGCCTTGGGAGCTGAGAGGAAAATGGCTGTTCTCACTACATGGAGGGCAAAGAGAGCCAGCATCATGGAGTGCTTTCTGGTTGTGGTGTGTTTCTATGGTCCTGTCCTCACTAGAGGGGTGCAGAGGTGAGACCAACAGAGGTGAGCAAAGCCTGCTTCATCTGGCCTCTGCTTCATCTGGCCCCATCGTTCCCTCAGGATTGCTCCTGGCCCGGAACAAGGGCTCCATCTACCTTCTCCTAACTGATTCCTACTCATCCTCAAGACCACAGCTCACGCCCCCATCTCAGAGAAACCTCCCATGCCCACACCTCAGGTGTCCTTCTCAGAAGGATTCATGCCTCACACCCCGCCCCCGCCAGCCATGAACTGCACACAGCTGGCCAGATCTGCTTTGCTCACCCTGAGTCAGGAGTGCTTGGGGACTGGCCTGCCCCACTGTGGGTGCCCAATGAGTGTAACCGACTGGCCGAATGACCAAGGCTCATTATCCCCACTTTATAGGTGAGGAAGAGGAGGTTCTGGGGGATTGTGTGACTCTACGAGGGCCATATGGCTAGTCATTAAGGAAGTTAGGTCCAAAGCAATTCTTCTCTCTTTAAATGTGAGAATTTTGTGTCATATCATGGCCTCACTATTCTTGGTTGAGGAGGACCAAGTTGGACACACATCTCCAAGACTGAATGAAAAAGATTTGGACAAAGGCATATGTACACATTACATATATATACATATATATATATATATATAAATGTAGAAGATATATATATATCTTTTACATATATATAAATTTAGGTTACAAGAGGTTTAAAAAATCAGAAAAAGGATGAGACTCTGGTGATGACAAGGTTTGCAACCTCTGTGGTGACATGAAGACCCTATTGCCACTTGGAAGAGATAAACTCAGAGTAAATAAAAGTAGGGTTATGCGCCCACAGGATATGTTATCTTTAACAAATTGTGTTGTCTGGAAATACAAAGTGTTTTTCTCAGTGCATCGAGCATTTATAAAATAACCAAAACCCTTTGGAGAAGCTGAGCATTGAAACCTTTCTGCCTGTGTGGACGGGGTTGGGGATGAACCACTTCCCCTGCCTGGTACCCTTAATCTAAATGTCCACAGGCCACTATTAAGCACGGTCTCAGTCAGCTCCTTTGAAGTTGGAAGTAGGTCAGGACATTTGTTCAAGGGCCAGCTACACTGGGAGGAAGAACTGAGCAGCTAAGGGGGTTTTCAGCAATTCCGGGGGAGGGGGTGGAATTCTCACAAGTGATGCTATAACTTGGGATGTGTTTAAATTCAGAGGGAGCACTTAAGCCGGTAGAGCATGGGAGGCACACCCAAATGCCCACACAGTCAGCAGGGAATGTCCACAGAAGGTGCTTAGAACAGAGGCAGGCATGTAGTAAGTGCTCATTAAATACCATTCATGTATACTTGTTAATATTGGGGCTAGCCATATAACTACTTTATACTTTCTCAAATACTTCTAATATGTTGTGTGTGTGTGTGTGTGTGTGTGTGTGTGTGTGTCTGTGTAGGTCAGCCACTTTGTTCCTTTCTAGAGATTTGGATTTATTTTCTTTACAAAAACTGAGGAAGTTATATTATAAACGAAGCTAATTTGTCCTTGAATAGCCAGCGTGAGTGAGGTGGCCAGTACTGCTCAAAATGTGGGGATATTGGCCAGTCTGTGTGATTTTGTAAAATGCTTGATGCTCAGGTCACACATGAGACCCATGCTTCTGAGACTGGGGTGGAGGGGCAGGGGCTAATTCCCATCCCCCTCGCCTACAGTGGACAGAGGGTGACAAGGGTAACTGTGCCCACATGATTAATGCCTGTGCATCTCCCGTGGAAATGCCAGAGAGTGGGTCCAGTAATCCACGACTTTCATTCTTTGTTATAGACACCTGTGGTCTTCTGAATCTTAGGCAAAGTGCTCTTAAAAAAATTCTAGATCAGTCCCTTTGCCATCTCTTCCAAATGGATTGCTGCCCCGAGCCCTTTCTACATTGACCAGCACTGTTCATTTTGGGGGAACCTCCCTTGAAGCTGAAATGTGGGGGAGAGTTTGACTTTTCTTATTACAACAACATAGATATGCAGCAGAATGCAAAATCGGTGAGACCAGAGATTGTGAGAGTCGTTTGAGCTTAGAGCTCTGAGTTAGGTCCCCGGACCTTCTGCAGGAGAACTCGGTCTTTCTCCTCTGCTGATCGGGGAGCCTCGGTGAGAGGCTCTGTGATGCTAAATGAACCTGCCAGCTCCCGGAATTCAATCAGACTCTCGTTCCCATCCTCCATTCCATGGTTCCATCAAATGACCTGAAGAGGAAGGGACCTGCAGGGAGGGGCCTGGAAGAGAGCTGAGGATTGTGTGGATTTAACTGAGTGTGGGCTGGGGACAGGACCTCCCCGATTTGCAGTTCTGCCTCCTCATTATATTAGCTGTGAAATCCTAAAGGAGTTTCCTAACCTCCCTGGACCTCAGCTTCCTTCTACGACAAGAACAATAGTGCATACCTTGTAGGAAGTTTGCTGTGAAAAGGAAAAGAAATGATACACGTAAAGAACATAGCCCAGTTATCTGGAGGACAGTAAGCCTTCAATACAAGTCACCTGTATTCGTTACTATTACTGTGTTTGTTCTCCAGGGAAATGAGGCCTTCCTCCCTCTGAAGCCTTGGTCTAGCTGAGGGACAAGCAGAACAAAGCAAGCCCAGGGCTCAGCGTGGGGAGGCAGACAGTCTGGGTCAGAGGAGGCCCGAGTTTGACAGCCTGGACCATAATTAGTATGATTTATTAGCATAGGGAGTTGGGAAAGTTTTTTGCCTGGGGCCGCACTGGAGAGAGCCGGCGAGTGGACTGGGTACCACGGGACATCATCAATTGTGGCTTTGTCACCGAAAGGAAGGACTTTATGGGCAAGGGGAGCCTGAAATGAAAAATTGCTTCCAGGTTTCCTCCCAGAGATGGTTGAGCTCCATCCAACAGCCCTTCTTGGCATTCCTTCCAAGCCTGTGGAATGATTGTCCATGAGATGGTGGAATGGGAGGGAAGTCCGGAGTAGTTTAAGGAACTGGATAGAGAAGAGACTAGAAGGGCAGGTGGGGATCAGCATAGAGCTACAGCCTGGGGCATGTGGGGTTGGGAAGGCACAGGGAGCACCACGCCCCAAGTGGTCCCGAAGCCCCAGCTGCCCAGAAGGCTCAGGCGTGTGGAGGGTGGGCTGCTTGTGGTGAGTGCTGAGGTCTCTCTCTGGGGCTGCTCCCAGGATAGGATCATGAACACGGGCCCACCTGACACTCTTCAGTGATTTTGTTGATTTGTCTGGTTTTGATTTAGAAATTCTTAGACTCTTGCATGAGCTTTTGGACTTCTATACCCAGCACATGAATCTTGCTGAGAAAAGCCCATGTAGCACCCAAATGCCTTGTCCCTGATCTTCTGGATGTTAATACCCGAAAGGCTTTGCACCTTTTCAGATAAAATTCCTTCTTTAAATAAAATTTCCCAAGGTATAGCAACAGCTGACACATTTTTCGAGCACCTAGGATGCAGCAGTTAGCGTGCTGTCCTCTGTGCTCATGTGAACCCTCCCCCCGCACATGCCACCAAGTCCTCTGAGGAAGTGGCAGGGCCGGAAGTAGGTCATGTTAAGTGTTCTCCAGCTCCTGCTGCTGGAACTTAGTGCCTTTGAGGTGCAAGAGCTTTGCTTGACGGCGGGGATGGAGAGCGGGAGCTAGAGCCCGGCCTCCTGAACCATCACCCAGGGTCCTGAGGGACCTCTCAGGAACCCCTGGAATGGCCCTAATCTAGAAAGTTCTGCTACAGACAAAGTGGAAACCAGAATCCAAAGCAGAGGGGCACCGCATGTCGGCGTGGTCACCTCAGCAAACAGGGGAAGGGTGAGTGGGTGTGTGGAGGTTCACGGCGGAGAGCCAGAAATGAGGTGTTGAGGTCAGGGTACCCCATGACTTGTCAGAACTTCAGTGGAGAAATCATCTTTAAAAAGTATCATACGCTTGTCAAGGTCAGACAGCCGGCCCTGCACACTTCGATCAACTTTTCCAGTATCGCTAGTTCTTTATTTTGAGAGAGCAGAAGGGAAGGCCTGAGGGAGTTAATGAAATTCTAGAGTATTTTGCAATCTGTGACAGTCCACTCCAGGGTCTTGCAGGGAGGCCAGGCAGAAGGCCTGCTTCAAAGAGCAGGTCTGATCCTTTGTGGTTAGCGTGTGGCAGGCCCAGAATTGGCTGCTGTCTGCTAAAGCCATTGGAAAAGGTTGTGAAGACAGCTGGTTTTCCAGACTAAGCTGATTATTCCTCCCTGCCCTCCTGTAGACATTGTTCTTCTAGTGGACACATCATTCCTTTCTCCCTTTCTTTTCCCTTTGGTCTCGAAATACCGAAGCTGTCACATCCTGAATTGGAAAGGATGAGACGGGGCCCTTTGCTGCTTTGGTTCAATAGGAAAAATGAAGACGGGAGAGAGACCCAGCTGTTTTTCCACTAGCGGGGGGAGTTGTGAGGTGTTCCTGGCAATGGTGGGCACCTACCGAGTGCCTGGCATGTCATGAAACACTTCATCTGTGGCACAGCAGGCCTCCCAGCCCTAGGTGGCTGATGTTTTTCCAGTTGGGAAAGTATATCTCCAAGTTATTAGGAAAAACCTGCCAAGGTCATGGCGTCAGTGGTTTGTGGCAGTGTCGGCCTGGGGAGCCTGGACGTGGACAGGAAGCTGCCACGGGGACAACTGTGAATTCAAGGTGGGATCTCCTGTGGGGCTGGGGGATGTCTCACTGGCCACAGACCACGGAGAGTTTGCAGAGCAGTGTACAGAGGCGAGTCTGCTGTCCCCTGCTGCCTCCCTCTCAGAGAGGACTCGGATGGAGGGGTCACCTCTCTCGGAAGGAAAGCACAGAGGCCAGACCAGATATTCTTCCCATGGGGCGTGTTGGTTCTGAGGACGGCCACGGCCTACAGGGCCCACCCAGTGTCCAGGCAGCTCTCAACTATCCTGTCGCAATCAACTTCTCTCCACCTTTAGGAGGTCAGAGACAGTCAGCTCCTTCGGGAATCCAGAGAGCCAGGTGGCCAGTCAAAAGCCGGGTTCCTCCCTCAGGGAGGGTGACTCCTGCGGGATATTCATGCCTTGGCGGGACTTTGTCTTCTCTCAATGGGTGGTGGGAGAAGAGGGCTACAGCTGTGATGCAGGAATCAGAGAAGCTTCTGGAAGGGGTCTTAGCAATGACCAAGTCCAACTTCTCATTAGACTGTTGGAAATGCAGAGGCCTCAGACAGGAGAAGGCTGTGTCTTTATGTCTGAGACTGTCAGGTATCAGCCCCATTGGCAAGCCTACTGGTGTTCACTTCTGTTAACCCTTCGTTTTTGTTGTTGTTGTTGTTGTTTACTGTGGTAAAATAGATCTAGAACTTACCATTTTAACTCTTTTTTAAGTGTAGAGTTTGGTGGCATTAAGTCAATTCACAAGATTGTGCCAACCATTTCCTCTGTCCGTCTCCGTGACCTTTTCATCTTCCCAAACTGAAATGAGTCCTTCATTTTAAACCCCCGTGTGTGCTTGTCCTGCACCTGACTGTGGCCCAAACACCTCCCACATAATAATAAACACCCTGGTAACAATTCTATGAGGTAGGCGTTCTTGCTATCTCCTTTCACAGATGAGAAAACGAAGGCACGAGAAGCTGTGGTGCTACAGTTAACAAATCTCAAAGCCAGACTTTGCCTTTAGGCTGCCCAGCTCTGAAGTCTGAGCTCTGGATGACTACAGAAACTGCTCCAAGGCCTGGAACTCCTCCCTGGGGCAGGCAGGCCATCCCTTCCTGCCCCCCTCTCCAGCTGGCAGAATGGGCAGGAAGAGAGGGCTCCCGGGATGGCAAGTCCCTGCTATGCATGTGTGGACAGAAGGACCTTCTCCCTGGACCCTGCCATCATGGGACGCAGGGGAGACAATGGGGACACAAAAGCTTTCATTTTCCTCCTTCAAACTTAGCCTCAGCCCAATATTGAGGGTCAGAAATAGAAGACATTCTTCATTTTCTTTCTGGGGATCAAAGTGTTTCTTAGGCCTAAAGGAGATTTGGACTATGTATCTGGCTGACTCAGAACCCTTCAGATAGGGTGAGAGACACGCTGTGCGTGCGCGTGCCCCTGCGTTGGTGGTGCGAGCGGGTGTGGGGCTGGATTATGGAGGGAAGCACCCCAAGTGTGTCTGTGATGCCCTGGCCTCTGGTCGGAGGCGGGGGCTTCCTTCTGATGGGGGCCTTTTCGCAGCGTCCTCAGAGGCTTGGTCTCTCCTGGACCCAACTGCCTCCTGCCCCCGAGTGTGGGCCATGCCGAGCCGGAATGCCTGGGGTTAAGGCCTGGGAGGACTGACAGCCTGGTGAGGACTTACCTCACAAGCCTCAGGGCGTGCACCTGCCAGGCTTGCTGGGTTGTGCAGTCACCTGAGCACCTGGGGACAGAGGCCCTCAGGGAGATGCTGGGGCCAAGTCAGCAGGCCCTCCTCTGGCATGGGATCTGCACAAGGCCCCATGCTTCCTTTGTAGGCAGAGAAGACCCGCCGAGAGAGGAGGTAGGGTGGGAAGGCAGGCCTAGTGGATGGCGTGGGGATTCATGTCTACTGAGCGCATGCTTTGGGCCGAGCCATATATTTTACGCAGTTAGGCTCCCTTAATTCTCACAGTGATTCTCGTCATCCCTGCTTGAGGGATAAGGAAACAGAAGCTCCGAGAAAAACAGTCATATTCATATCAATAGCTGCAGGGCAACGTGGTTAGAAGATGATTTAGAAGATGACTGTGTAGATAGTTAAGAGGACAGGTGCTCAAGTCAACTTGCATGAAACCTAAAGAGCCATAACACCTTGGATAAGTCATTGACCTTTCTGTGCCTCAGTTTCTTCATTCATAAAATGGAAATAATAACCAATTCATTTCTCATAGGGCTGCTGTAAGGATGAGATGGGTGCTTGGCACAGGGCCTGAATCACAGCTACTGTTCAGCAAATGTTAGCTAAATCCATGATATCAAGAAATCACAGCGTACTAGGCTCTGGGCTAAGGTTTTTGCTTAAATATAATAACTAAAAGAAATTGATTCAAAGGCATTCGTAGAGTCCCCCAAGGCCACAGAGCTGGGAAGAGGTTGGGGTGAGGATTCCAGTGCTTTTCTCCCTGCAGAAGCTTCCCCTCCTGCTGCCCAGATCTCCACCAGTCCTCTGCCCTGAACACCGGTGAGAGCTGGCACGTTCCAGCCCCCAGCATGGCCTTGCCGCCTCCTAGAGGCCAGCGCCACCTCCCACCCCAGCTCTTCCCAGCTCAGATGGGCTTCTTCAGGTTTACGCACCTGTCTGATGCTCAAAGGCAGGGTAGTACTCTTCATTGCTGAACAGATCAGTCCACGACATCAGAGGGTCGCAGAAGGACGTGTTGGGCAGGAAGGTACTGTGTGTCACCGAGTCCAACATCACCCTACAAAGGCAGGAGAGGGCTGAGAGGAGGCAGACGAGGGCCGCACAGGAGCCCCCCGCGGGGCACACTTGGTTTTTAATAACAAACACGCAGCCATCTAGGAACTGGGCAGCCCTCTAAGTGCTTGCCACAACGACGTTACTCAATCCTTCTCGCATCCTGTGAGGTTTGTACATCTGCTCCCATCTTATATACAAGAAAATCTAGATAGTGGGGTTGCAACAGGTGCCCACGTAACATGGCCCGTAAGTGGCTAAGTTCAGGGTTTGACATGGAGATTCTTAGGACGCAATGCTGCCTCTTTCTTTACTTTTCCTATTGGCTCACAGGTGACCCCTGAACTCCGGGTTATAAGGTCAGCCATATGCTTCTGAAGGCCAGGCAAGTGTGGCTATATGTTAATACACCCCAAACCCTTACCCCCAATTCTGAAATCCACAAGCTCTGAAAAGGAAAGTATGTGTTGTGTGTGTGTTTACAGACTCATTTCCCACAAAACACAAAACAAAACGAAAACCAGTCCTAAATTAGTTATATAGTTTTATATACTGTTACATATATATTATATCCATAAATCTATATTCAGGCATATAAACCATGTACTAAACATAGATACACACACACACACACACACGTATATGTATATAAGCAACATATTATAACTGTGTACATTATACATATGCTATATAGTTTTGTAATTATAGTTATAATTTTGTTTATTCTACTAGATGAATATTCATAAGATATGTAAAATACATATGCCTCCTAGGAGGAATACCCCGACAAGAGGATTCTGTATCCTGCAGCATATACATACTGTATAACCTTCCTAGTACCTGAGGAATCCTGAATTCTGCAGCACATCTAGTCCCAGGGTTTGGGTTCAGAGAGGGAGGACCTATGATAGTTGGAACATACACTTACTACGCTTTGGGCTCTGTTCTGAGCACTTTACATCTGTGTATTGATGACTCATGGTCTCCTCGGAACACACTCTGAGACAGGTTCTTTCTCAGTGATGAGGATGGATGTGCTAAGATTTTAGGTCATATACTGCAAACCACCCAGTGGGCAGATGGTAGAGTTTGGGTAACAACTCAGGTTTATCCACTTAAGAAGTCCCTTTTTTTTTTTTAAGATTTTATTTATTTATTTGACAGAGATCACAAGTAGGCAGAGAGGCAGGCAGAGTTAGGGAAACAGACTCCCTGCTGAGCAGAGAGCCCCTTGCGGGGCTCGATCCCAGGACCCTGGGATCATGACCTGAGCCGAAGACAGAGGCTTAACCCACTGAGTCCCCCAGATGCCCCAAGAAGCCACTCTCTTTATTGTAGGGCTCTCCCCTCTGCATACACTGGCGAGGAGGAAGATTTGGGAGAAGGTGTCTGGTTGAGGCTGAAAATATGGCAGAATGGAATGGCTGAGGCTGCTGTAATCTTTCAAGTTTGCTTTTTCCCATATTCTCACAATTCAGGGGAAAAAAATGAATTCATATTTGGTAGATTAGAAAAGTTGGTTTGCCCAAATTCTCTCTTCTGATCATCACAATCATGTTGATGAGATAGGGTGTTTCTACCCCCATTTTGTGAAGGGGATCCCACAGCTCAAGGTCACACAGCTGGTAGGTTAAATGTCAAAGATTAAATGAACAAAGATTGGATTCTGGATCTTGAGATATTAAGCATATAGAATTTTCAGATGGCCGGGGTCTTAGTAATCACCTAGTTCAGTGTTTTGCAAACTTGATAATCATTTGCCTACCATCCCGATAATTTACTTAATATGTTAAAAAAAAAAAAAATCCACTTTTTTTTTTAAACACAACTACATTTATTTAAAAGGAAGACTTTTTATCACCACTATAGATGGAAAGTCTGTCTCCTTTCAACATGCAGAAAAATAAAGACAGGATTTAAATAAAAACTGTTGGTCCATGCATCACCTAAATCAGAGGTTAGCAGACTACAATTTACAGGCCCAATCCAGCCCACCACCTATGTTTGAAATGGGCCGCAACTGAAAATGATTTTACATTTGTAAATAGTTACATAGGAAATGGTTATATATGTACCCACTTACTATAATCAGTTTTGCCCTTTGGCCTGTATATCCTAAAATACTAACTACCTGGCCCTTGAAATAAAAGTTTGCCTACCCCTGACCTGATCTATTTCCTGTATCACACAAGTGGTGTGAGTGCCGCGTGTTGGAAAGTCCAGAGTTAGTCCAATCTTTCCCTTCACTCCATTGTTGTATAGCTGAGACAAGTAAGGCCCAGAGAATTTGTGTAACTCACTCAAGGTCACACAGCCAATGGATGTCAACATTATGTTGTAGCAAGTTCTTAAGGTTTCTGAATTTTGGATCATCTGCTTCCTTTTCTAGAAACATTCACAGTCACATCTGCCTACAGACATATCCCTAACACACTTACATATCAAATGGAACCCCAGTACTGAGAAAGGCAGGGGTTGTGTGATTCCAGAATCAAAGGGCAATTCTCTGAGGGTGCTTGCAAATCTACCATCGTTAGCTTCATCAACTGTGCATGAGAACTGCTCTCCTGTGATAGAGAAATAACCAAGTTCAAATTCTCACACTCTGGCACCCTTTCTGGGCCGTCACTGGAGAGTCACCAGACCCTACTGGGAAGCCTCCTTGCTGGTGCCCAGAGAGGGTTAACCAGCTCAGTGGGTTATCATGTTCATGGATCTCCCCCTGGGAACCGTATCAAACAGAGGTCAAGGCTGCCTGAGTTTAGACTCTGATTTTCCCACGGATTTGCTGGTTTTATATCCCGAGCAGGAGGTAGGATGAAGAGGAATGGGGGTGGGAGGTTTTGAGGGAGGGAAGGGCCCCTGGAGCTCAAAACCCCTCTTCTGCATTTTGGACTTGACCTCAAAAAAGCTCCCATAAGTGAGGGCAAAAGGTAAAATCTCAGAAAACTGAGGGAGAAGATGGCTGAACTCTGACATGACCTTCCTGGGGGTGTTTGGAGAAAGGAGGGGTGTAGTCCACATGGAAGGAAACAGAACTGTTTCCAGGTCTTCCCCTTCATTTAGAAACCCTCCAGGTAAAAAAACACGATAGCAGGAGTGGGCACTTTCGTGCTTAACACCTGGCATGAATAGTTCTTAAAAGTCATTTGGTAACTTGAATTTGATCACCAAACATTAGGAGTATTTCTGAGCAATAGAATATTTACCTCTTTTAAGGATTTCTCTTCTTCTTTACACCAACCTGCTCGCTTGACCTGCAGTCTCCCTAGTGCTGTACACAGCGTCCAATCTGATTCCCTTTGGTAATCTCTTCTATGAGGAATTATATCCATTGAGTTTTCTTAAAGGACTCTCTCAGGTGTACCAAGGGCTATTTTTTTTCCTGTAATTATTTCTTGCTTCTTGGAAAAAAATTTTCTTTTATAAAAGCAGCATATTTCTTTTTTATTTTATGCTATTACAGTCGGAGAGCATATTATTAACTCTGGGTTTTCCACAAAAGCCCTTGGCTACTTAGCCAGCATGCGCTAGGTGTGAGTTCAGGAATAATGGCTGCTTTGTCTTCAGTCGCTTAGCTTCCTAGGCCCTTGAAAGTCCTTGCAATAACTGAACATTTTAGCTCTTAAGAGTTCCTTAATGTAGGTGGAACAGGGTGAGGGTGGGGGGGGAAGAACCCCCAAACCAGCTGTTTGGGGCCCATTTCTCAGCTAGTACATTGAGGTCTAGGAATATGTAGGCCCAGGCTCACAGTTTGACTGGCGTTCCCAGGTGGGTGACGTGGACCTTAGAGGGGAAAAATTGGTTCTTGGGGGTCAAAAAAAATCGTAGCCATTATTATGTCTCAAGACCCTCTAAAGGGCCACCGTGCATAAATGATAGGGGGTAGTGACTATGACAAAATTATTTAAAAAACCTCCTCAGTTGGGAACGACAATGAAAAAAATGGTTGAGAAGCACTGGATTAGACCTAGAGTCAGCAGCAGGACAAGAAGGGAGATTCAGGGAGGGTCCCAGCCTGCTATCCTAGGCCTATGTTTTTGGGTTTTGAGGGGCACCTGGTTTGTCGTCCTGTAAAGAGCACTGGCTGAGAGTCATGATTCTGCCTCTTGTGCCTCTGCTCTTCCTTTGACCACACTGGTGAGGGGGACTCTGAGACGTGCCCTGGCTCCATGATTTTCTCCAGACGTCCACCTGAATGGCCCAGCACATCCAAACACCGGTGCGCACACATATGCACATATGTCGGTTATACTGGATATTGTGGTCGAGCAAGCTATCTAAATTGGAGTCAAATCCAGCCACTAAAATGGAGATTTAACTTTAGTTCTCCAAAGTCCCCCTGATTTCCTCTTCCCCCTTCCCTCCCATGCCCACTACTTTCCCTAGTGGGCCCCGGGCATTCTTTGCCTGGGCTAGCCCGGTCCCTTAAGCGCTTCAAACCCTCACTCACCTCTTGCCCATCCACACACCCACCACTGTTAGAATCCATTTCCCCCAAACACCACCATAGCTGCTTAGTGAGCAGGGAAGTTTCAAGCACAATCCACACAAGGGAAAGGAAGTCGGTGGGTTCCCTTCCACGTGCAAGAAAGCCTGACTGCAGGGACCTGTTGGAATGAGACAGTGATAGTGGAGAAGCTTGGGTCCCCGATGGCTGCACTGGCTTCCTAACCCCTCTGGGAGCCGGCTCACTCACCAGGTGTGCACAGGGAAGGGTCCGCACAGTCAGAGGGACAGGCCTGTGGGCTTCTTGCCCCCACACGAGTCAGAGGCAGCAATCACAGGTGTGGTGCCCATGGCCTGATTAACCAGGCACCTCTGCTCAGCCTTCCAGAGAGAGGGGAAGGAGCAAACCACCCAGGCTTGGCCAGTTTGCCAGAGAAGGAAAATTCCTTCCTGACCCTGGCAGAGATCATCAGCTTCACTCTGGGCATGTGACCAAAAATCCACCCAGTTAAGCATCTACACATTGGCTGTTTATGCACTAAAACATCACC